CTGACCAGATTTCTTTTCACAAAATAGAGAAAGGGGATGTGCTTTGCATCAGGGTGACAATGATAATTATTTTTTGTTTGACAATACGCCCGCGTGTTTGACAGTGCATAAGAATAGTGAATAAATTACGGGTTTTCTAAGAGTGGTGCACTTTAGTGGTAACAACAACAGACATCTGTGTTTAGAATTTGGTCGATTTCGTATATTCTGTTACTAGTTAAGACGAAGATATTTTTGGGTGAAGGTGAAGGAAAATCTTCTTTTCTCTTCAAGCGAAGATTGGAAGACAGACTTCGATTCTCAAAAATCTTAACATGGTCGATATTACAATACACATTTCTGTCTGGCACTGTCTGTCCCTAGCTTTAGCTCTGCATGAAAAATATAACAGGTATGCATCAAATATCCAGTCCAAATCGGATTTTTTTCACCACGGAGGTTACAAAAAGTTCCACGTGTTTTCCTTGTTTTCACAATTACTTAAATAAGATAGCAGTGAAGAAAGATATTTTTCTATAAAAAATACCCGCGTGAGAACAAAATGCATGTTCTAGAGTATCATCTTAATAACTTGTGTCCAAAAGGCTACTACGACATGTAGTACCAAGGTCCTTGCTAGTACTTAACTTGCCTCTGTTATTATTCGTAATGCTATGTTACCTTTGTTTGTACAGGCACACGGACACCGATCGTCGGAGGAAAGCTATCCATGCCGTTAGGCCTTGCGGGGAGATCTTTTTTTTACCTCTTTGGTCTTGCCAATATAGAATTGTTTTGGCCAATATCTGTTCTGGATTTTGTTCCGTTTTTGACTTACTGTTTGCTAGCTTGATACTCAGGGAATTATAATTTTACTAACGTGGGGATTCACACATGTCAGCAGAATTCAACCAACAAAGCGAAATATCAAACAGTTCAGTCTCATCACTATATGTTACTGGGAACAAGAAGGTGCAACCTTAATCTAGAGTACTAGTTAGGACAAACTATGATCGTTCCAAAAACTATATTGATAACAACTCTTGGAAGAACAAGTCGGCATGCGCATGCAGTATTCTCCCTCGTACAGTTTTAGTCTAAGCACCTGTATGTATAAAAGAGAACATACAAAAAGTTAATTACGTGTCAAAAATATATCTTATATAAAAATGGGGGGTTGTGACCCCGAGACTTTTCCAACAAGTTCTGTTATATTCAGTGAGAGCTGTCGACGATACAAAAGGAAACATGACACGCAACGGACTCATGCACCTGGTTTTGAGACGACCGTTGCGTCTCCGACTATCAGACACACCATATTCATTCTTGCTATAAATTAGTACTAGTATAATCTGCACAAGGAGGTTTAAACCTTAATCTGAATGATTAAAAAATAGCCTCAGCTTTTCGTAGGTTACACCATGGAGGTAAGAAAAACACACACTGACAGAAAGTAGACGTGTTCAAAATCCATATAAACTGCAGTAGAAAATTAGTCAAAGCTCCTTGTGTTTAAATCTTTAAGCTACAACCTGCCTGTGTTATGTTTGTATTTGTTACCAAATCGTATTCCGCATCTAATAGCGGCCGCCGTAGAATAAAATAGAAGCCCTGAAACATTTTATTGGCAGCGTAATTCTCCTTGGTAAAACAGAATTGTTGACCACAACTTGGCACGCGTGTAGCGAAAGTTGTACCGACTTCTTTGATCTGAAACTCGAACCGCCCCTTTCGGCGGTTGCGTCGGAGTTCATCAATCAATTTTGACAGGACTGGCCATGGGGCGCCGTGATGTCTTGGGAGAAATGTTCTACTACGAGATGTGTGTGAATTTTGACTTTCAATATCAGGATTACTACTCCATTCCTACAAGAACCCTGACTTCATTTTTGAAAACCACTGTTTTATTTAAAGTCGATTTGGCGGATGCAATAACTCATGAGGTGTTATTCATTACTTGATTGATATAATATGAAAAAAATGCCAGTGGTCTTTCCTCCCGTAAGCACATATTCAGCCCCGTGCCGAACTGCGTTGTGTATTCGATCAGTAAGCTCGTGCCGCCTCGTGGCCGGCCGCATCAATGAGGTTTCTGCTGGCCGTGTAAACGTCATCTTTCGACCAGTTTACTAGTACATCATTCACGCCGGGAAGGGCCTTGGGTTTGGAAACTTTTTTGACCCGGGGGGAAGGACCTAGGAAATCTTTTAATCACCGTTAAATATCGTACAATAGAGCATTACGCAATCCGTTTCGGCACGCCGGCGGGGAGCACATCGGGCGACGCAGACAGAAGAAATCGGAAAATTATTACGCTGTGTTTGCGGGATAAATGCCGGCACACGAACTTAAATTATTATCTTCAAAGAATTACACAGTTCCTATACGAAAATAGCTGGCCCAAAATGTAAACGAAAGGCAACTTTCGCCCGCAGCTGACTTATTTTGACCGGTAGATATAGGATTCTATTCGTGCGCCGTAATGGGCACACAATATCGCGACATTGCGCGCTGACGTGATCGGTATACAACTGTCGTAAAACCAAACGTAATTATTTCTCTACCCCTGCATCTAGGACCGAAAAAAACCTTAAAAACATTACGTACGGCATTACGTACAAATGCCGAATCTACCGGGAGTTCCAAATATGGGAATCGTCGGAACCTTGCTGGGGCACTTCGGCTACCTCGGCCTTTGTCGGCCGAAGTTCGGTATGTGTTACGTCATACTGTAGCTCATTTGAATACCTCGGCTGCGGTACAGACAAGATGAGAGGCGGCCGCGCGTACATTACACAAAGGGTCGCAGCGCGCAGCGGAGTGAAACAAAAGGCCACAAAAGGGTACAGCGGTGTCTAAACATGTGCTCGATTATCCTTATCAGTACTGAACTTTTTTCATAACCAATAAATACAAATACTGTATAATAGCGCACACTTTCTAGTGGACATGTGGGCAGCGATTGTTTATAGAAGAGTAGATTGGTTGGTATCTTGTCTCACGTTGACCGGGCGATCGCGAGAGTTTTAAAGGTGGGACTTTTTTTTTTAACCTTGTTTGTTTGACAACGAGGAGTGTAATATTTAGCACCGAACATTTTGCCGCTGGGGGGCGCTGGTGATCACAGCGACATAAGGGTGCGCCTACTTCACACCTTGTTCGGAGGTGCTAAAAACTCAAGGGTCTTAGAAGGGCTGAAGTCCTATTGTATTCTGCAGCAAAGTAAACACGCGGGATCCCATTCATTTCCTTGCATAATTAGACCAAACGTGAACAAAAGGGGAAGCCCCTTTTAGTCCCTTGAAGCACACAGAAACAATAGAGAAGCCGAGTAAGGCCCAATGAAGCCCCCAGACTGCCTTTTCAGGTCTTTCCTGACCGGTAGTGTCAGGACAACACAACTTAATCTAATGTTAGTATTTATGTTTACTTTTATATATGACCATTTTTCTTACATTTCCAGATGATGACAAAGACGGCAATCATAATGACACAAAGAAAGAATCAGCTGACGTCCACAACAGAAGATTTTCCAGCATTATTGATGATTTGAACAGAATACACCAGGATGTCCAGAACCACACAGAGCTGCACAGAAGAAGAAAACGATTTCTGTCCTATCCACGACACGTTGAAGTCATGATCGTGGCCGACCACAAAATGGCGAAATATCACGGCTCAGGACTACGCCATTACGTTCTAGCTCTCATGTCTATCGTAAGTCTCATCACAGTATGACTATCTATTTTGGGTGGTTCTAAGTATTGGAATCGAAGGGGGTTATGAGAAGTTTTGTTTTAAAACTATCTGAAATTAAGCTGGAAAAAAACTTAAGCAATAGATAATGATAGTGAGAAAATTCTGTAGATTTATATCTGTCCTGAAAAGTTTTTGAAAATTTACTCTTGGGTTCTTAAAGATTTTGATCTGTTATGATTTTGATCTCAAGTATTTATTATTCATGAGATTTTACTGATGTAACTTTTTTTCACAGGTGGCCTCAATATACAGGGACCCCAGCATCAACAACTTTGTCAATATTATTGTAGTCAAGCTGGTCATTATTAACAATGCACAGGTGAGGCTTATTTTATTCAATATTTGATAAATAATTAATAAACTACTGAATAGGCTTTAGCTTGCTTGCTGTTAACAGAATGAAAAGAATTACCGTACATCTCAAGCAGAAAACTGTTCATTTAGATATCTTGAGATTTGATGATCTTGTCTTGTTCCACAGGAAGGACCGTCGATATCTGCTAATGCTGCGGCAACTCTGCAGAACTTCTGTGTCTGGCAGCAGACACAGAACGTGTTGGATGACACACATCCCAACCACCACGATACAGCAATCCTTATCACTAGGTGGGCAACACTGGACTTACTGTTATTTTTTAAAAACCCTTTGAACACGTCAAGTACCAGAAAATAAAGTCTTCTCAAGACAGAAACTACTTAATGTAAGAAAACTTAAGAAGTGCTAAAGATTACTTTTACAGATCAAGAACAAAAAACAAGTAATGTCTTGAAGTTCCCAATACAAAAGTTCCTGAAAGATACATTTAAGAAACCTCAAGAAATGCCAAAGAAGAGTAAGAGAAATTTGACATGTAATTTGTAAACACAGTCTTTCTAATACAAAGACTGCTTTCCCTTAGCATTTGATGAAGACCACTTTTGTGGATTAAGAAACAAAGGAGTGCCTGGTGGTCAAATTCTTGACCTACTTATCCAGATGATATCCTTGGTTGGTTGACTACACAAAGTGTCGGCAGGTACAATTAGAACATTTGTTTGCAGTGGATTTAGATTAAATCTTAATCTGACAACAGCAACTAAAAAGTGCTGTGGCTGCAAATATCTGCAGAAGTGGCTTGCTGACTAGAACATTCTGATTCAGCAGTTTTTCCAGATTGTTTTTAGGTATCATAGAAATCTGAACTTTTCAAATAGTGCAGTTTTCCAAAATGATTATATCTCGTACTGCATTTGTCATTTCAGACGGAAGTTGTGGCCTGAATGCCAGGTTATTTCCTGGGCCTACTCTTGCTCCAGGGCAAACGTGACCCCCAAAGAAATTTTACCTACTGGTTCTAATTCATGGGGGCTGTGGTAAAATTCCTTGGGGGCATGTTGACCTTGGAGCGGAGGAGCCACAGGCCACATGACTGCTTTACCTAGTGGGGTCTTGTTAGAGGAAGATAGGCTGTACAGGGAAAGATGAGAGGGGAGATAGCCCTGAGTTGCTTGTTCTCCTGCTGGGAAGCTCCGGATGTTTAGTGTTGAATTTTTGGATTAGAACCTTTTTACAAACAGCCCGTCCCCCAAAATACCTCAGCTTTAGTTCCTGTCTCTTTTGCCAAGTCTGTTCTAATTGGGATGGACTGAAATAGGGAGAAAGCACCTTTCAGTTTTATCCTTGTCTCAGTTAAATGCTAAGAAAGAAAGAAAACCTTTCTTTAACTGTTTTCTTACTGCTGAGGCTGAAAGTGAAACACTGAGTGGGAATGATTCAGGTATAGAGATCAAGGGGTAAGGGAATGTTCCCGTTTTAGTTTTCCCCACAGCCAATCCTCTTTCAATTTTAGGCACAGTTTACCAAATTCTACACTTGTTCTTAAATAATCAAGAAGCAACTTACTACATTCACATGGCCTAACAGACTCTTATTACAGAAGACTCCTCTCTTCCTGTCTTTATCAGTCTCATATCTTCCCAAGTCTCCATGTATTACTGCATTTCTACACACTGTCTTCTGTCGGCAATCAAGTCAAATGCTGGTATGCTGGGATGTACATACTCCACACGTCGAGTCTCCTAACAAGGTCGTTAGTCCGACAAGGTCAAACAGTGGAGTTTACCTGAAGTCCTGACAGTTCAGGTGTCAAGTACCTGTCTGTTAAGACGAATGTCTGGGACTGTTCATCTTAAGGCTTTAGTCCTACGATAGACTAAACACAAAGTGAAAGAAGAGGAGAAAATGAAGGGTTTTGAATACCAGGAGCTTTTTCAGCCATGGTTGTGGACAGGGATCCCTTTGGAGGAGCTTACTTGTACATGTAGGTTGCTCTCACCTCAAAATGAGATGAGTTCTAGGGACACATTTTTGGGCCAAATGACCTGAAATTTGGTATGGAGATAGAAATAAATACCTCTAAGTGTTCTTATTTTTCATAAAGGCTTATAGAAGTGTTTTTTTTTTTTTTCATATTCAGACAAACAATGTATATATTGGGCTCTTGCGCACTGCCGTGAAACCCAGATGATCTGAAATTTGGTATGGGTATGTCTTAGATATACGGTATACCAACAGAAATTTATTCATTATCACTTTTTGCATACACCTCTTTAAAATTGCACAATGCATTCCGAGTTATACAATATTCTTTTCTGTTCTGTTTTGAAAATTATCTCTCATGTGTTATATAAAAATCCTGACAGTAATACAATGTAGAAACAAGTGAAGTACAGTCTTGGTGCAACTTGTCTGTCTTTGTGAAGAAACCTTGTAGTACAGCCAAGAAGTATAGTTTAAGAGTGATGTCTTCCCCTTGTGCCTTGGCGATAACCATCTTGTTTCCCTTCTCACAGACAGGACATCTGCAGATCATCCCGAAAATGTGACACCTTAGGTAAATATGGGCTCCTTCATTCTGGGGCGAGCGATTAGCAAACGTCATAACAACACGGACCACTGTGCGGCCTTTCCCACTGGCACTGCACTGAAATTATGAACCAAAATCATGATTAAAACAAGCTAGAATTAAAATATATTAATTATCATTCGTATCTAAAGGTAGATGTAGAAATAGTCTTGTTAGAAGCCTCTATCTTATTTCTGACTCACTAAGAATTATTTTATTTCTGACTCACTAAGAATTATAGTAGTTGAATTCTAAGAGTTATCTGTGTTATTTTATAGAGCATGGTTCCTCCTCAATGTTATGATTGGAATTTTTTGCGTTATTATATTTTAAACCTGTACGTTGTAAATATGATTATGAGATATGTGACCTGAAAAGGTTGTTCTACATGTATATCATAATATATTCTAACATCTTAGTGTCTCTCGAACCTCTCTAACTGGTGGATTGTTTACATTCTGAGCATGTTTGTCAGGGTGGGAAAGTTTTCTACAGTCGGTCCTGTGCTGTAACATAGCCCAATGAACTAACACTGTCACTGGGAAAGTTTACTACAGTCAGCCTGTGTTGTAACATAGATCAGTGGCTTGACACTGTCAGTACTAGTGGGAAGACGTCACTGAGAGAAGTCGCTGCATTGTGTCATGTCTGATATTTTGTGTCAATATGTGAGGCATGCCTGTCACATAATACCAATGGTCATTGAAAATTTGGTCTAATGGGTTACAGAAAATTCGGTTATTTTCAGAAAACATATTCTGACTTTCATTATGATTGATAGTAGGGATGTATCAAGTTGGTAACATGAAATGTTGGCAAAAGATTATTTTCTTCATTAACGTTTTAGTCAAACTACTACATAATTGTTGCACACACTTAAGTTACACATAATTGAACACTACCAACTCCTCATTTAAGCATGTTTACATAGGAAACCTATTACTCCCCTCTTGTACTAACTGTTTTCGCTGGTATCTGGCAGTAACCAGGCCTCTCACAGGTTGTTTGTTGTTTCCTGTCAGGCCTGGCGGAGTTGGGAACAATGTGCGACCCCTTCAGGAGCTGTTCCATCAACGAAGACAACGGACTCAGTGCCGCCTTCACTGTTGCTCATGAGCTCGGTCACGTGTAAGTAAAAACCTCTAAACTTTGCCAAACCTTTGCAGCTAACTGTTTCAGGACCCCTCTGTAAAGCTGCTGCCATGCCACTGAGATGGGCCATGCTGGTTGAATAAACCAAAATAATTAAAATATAGATATAACAACATAAGAAGGGTAATACAAAATAAACCGAGCAACCAGATGAATTCTCTGAAGAGTCAGATGTTTCAGATGGCATTTCAGTTATCGTTCATCAGTGACTTTGAATGAGTCTGAAGACACGTGTATATTAATGAGTATTTTGTACTCTCCGAATATAAATGACTTTCTGAGAAACATCAAGTAGCTCCTATTGGACCACAACATCTCCTGTTTAACACGATGTTAGATTCCGCGGTGTCACATTCGCGGCGTGGGGAGTACTTTGATGCTGGGGTGGCACCTAGGTGCCGGGGTTTGCCATCAGCATGCCTTTGGCGGCATTCTCACTTTGAAGGGACAAGTGTAAGGAATTCGTCGGCAGGGCAGCGACGCATGTGTGGCATCACACTTTGCACCTGTCTGCTATAGACAAATTTGTGTGCAGAATGTCTTTCACGTTGGGACGAGACATTTTGTCTCTAGGTTCAGATCGCGTGGTCAAGGTTGATGTGAAGGTGACAGGCTAGGGTGTGTTTTTGTACTCCGTAGTTTTCTGTATACATACACTCCATGGTAAGTAGATGGCTTAGAAAATGTATGGGAAAAATTGCTCTCCAACATTTGGAATGGAAAATTTCATCTACTTTTTCTGTTTTGGTTGTTTCTTTGATGGTTCCGAAGTGGTATATTATATCATCCTTGTAATATCTTGCCTTCATACAAAGGAGCACTCGCAAAACTGGGAAACCCTAATCTTAGAGAAACCCCGGTCTTGTTTGAAACAGTGAGTAGGATCAGTGTGTAGGTAGGAGTACAAGGCAAACAGAGTCTATGTACTCTCTTCTCTCCAAGGTAAACACCAGCGAACATCCAGCAGGCGGTGCCGACATGTCCGCTCTGTTATCAGTCTGGGAGACCCAGGAAGAAGCTATTAACAAATTGAGTGTTACTGCAGGGGTGTGGAGTTGGCTGGGAGTGATGCACTCCAGACTGTTGTGCTGTTTCTAACCTCACATTCACACACAGACTGAACAGGCATCTAGGCCATGGTGTCGCCAGGCAGCCTGGTTTCAGGGACAAACTCTGGAGCCCCTTGCTAGACAAACGCTGGTCGTGAACTTGTGGCTGTGATGGTGGTGTTGACATGTTCGCAATGTAAACAGGAGGGTGTAGTTTTTAAACGGATGGGGGTACCGGTGCAGCCCTTTTCTTATTGTGTCGAGTTATGAAGGCTTATGGATTGCTGAGGTTTGGCTGGAATTTGCTTGTTTTCTTGGCTTCCCTACCTCCATAATGGTTCAAAGATATTTGATAAATTTTCAAAGATAGTTAAAGGCAAAATTTGTTGTTTGGTTTTGGATGGGATGGGGTACTTCTGTGGAGTTGTCCAGATCACGTGCAGAGTATTGAGCCAGTGTTTCCCAGGGCTTTAGCCTGGTCACGTATGCTTGTGGGGCTTCTCATGGATCGGATGCATATTGTCCCTGACCGGTGAACGTCCCAAGATAGACTGAATTGATAGATAGTCAAGGGTATTTTAGGCCAGACATGTCAAGACCCCTTTTCCCCAACTTTGATCCAAATTGGAAAAGTGCCAGAGTCATTTAGTTTCCTAATTTTGGGCTGATCATGTGAAATATTTCTTCCATAATTGGTTCTTGAGTTAAGTGCACTTCTGGAGAACAAGGTCATTGCTGGGAAGGTCATTGACACAAGGTCAGCATCCTGGGTATGAGATCATATCATGACCCTTGACCTGGTGGCCAGAGTAGTTTGATCAGCTGCATGACAAGAAATGCTTTTTGCTGAAGAGAATTTTGTGTTACGTCATTGCCCAGACTTCAAAACTGTGCCAGTATTGTCTGAGCGAATGTTCAAAATAGAAGCTGTTACACAGGGATGTTTGTTGAAGGGCAAAACTTTTTTGAAGGAAGGTCGTTGGAAAAAAGGAGGGGGCAAACAGCCGGCGTTCTTTGATGCATCACTGTGTAAGCAGGGCAGAAAGGCTGGGGAGTTGGTTGTATCAAACGCTTAAACACAGTATGGAGAGGCACTGTCACAAATGTTTGAGAATTGTCAGCCAGGAATAGTTTTTTAACTGATGGCAGAGGCGGTTGTCTTTTGAAACAATGTCAGAAAGAGCAAGCAGGAATAAATCTCCATTCTGCCTGTTCAAATACAACATTACAGAGCTTGGTCTGTGGTAACCATGACTACAAGTGGATTGTAACTATCACAGGGCGGGGTTTCTCACTTCTGAAATGAACTGGAAACATGTTTTATAATTTGATTATATGCATGCTGAAACTATTTAAATATGGCTGATTTTTGCAAGCCTGAATGTCCTGAAATTAACCTTGAACATATTAGAAAACCTTTTAGGTCAAAGCATTCTTTCCAATCAATAATTTTCACTTTCTCATTGCAGTGTCAGCAAGTAGCTCCAATGTCTTGACTGAAAACAAGACAATCATTCAATCAATCAATCAATAGGCCAGTCAATCAATCAATCAATAGGCCAATCAAACAATCAATCAACCAAATGATCAGGCTTCAGCTTCTTGTGTAATAGAGCACACTTAACTTTTCACCAATCTCTCCATTGTATCTGATTGAAACACCAGATTTGCTTACCTTGATAACTTAACTTTTCACCAATCTCTCCATTGTATCTGATTGAAACACCAGATTTGCTTACCTTGATAACAGTGACTGTTTATGCTCAGCGTGTTAGTCAGCAACCTTGACTTCCAAATCATAATAACTTCGACTAAGGTCCTTCAGATGACTAGACTTACAAACAGGATCAGCTGGCTTTTTGTTTTGGTCTCAAGAATTGATCGGTTTCACGACGGTTAAAAAAGCAAATGGGACACAAGTTACAACTTTGCTTGCATTGTTGATACCAAATGTTTATCCTCATTTCCAGTACTACGGACAAAACTACTAGTACTGAGGACGTAAGGTTATGATGCATTGTGTATATTTGGGTTGCAGAATCCCACAAGCATATATGTACAAATTTTTTTGTACTTGACTCCCTTGTAATGAACAACACCTTACAAACTTCACCCTCTTGGTCCATAATGTTTTGTCAACTTGCCGTTTATTTTGGTTTGACACAATTCAAAACAAAAGTGAACAAGTTTTATGTTTGCTTGTGTTGGCAACATTGAATATTTACCTTCTGTACACTGCTTGTTAATGTAACATTGAATGAAATTAACATTGACAAACCACCTTGATCTCTTGGTATGAACCTCAGTCTCCTTGACCATGGAGTTTGGTCAACTTACTTCTTATTTTTGTTGGATCTCTACCTAAAACAAAGCTGAGACAAGTTACATGTTATCCTGGATCCACAGCCATGTTGACCTTGTCAAATAGGGATGTATACTCATCAACAAACAACCAAGGTCAAGGTCAAGTGTTCTGATGTGCCAATAGAACACCTCTTGGGTGGCCTGAACTTGGCAACTGGGAAATGTAGTTTGGAACACCATTTACGTAGTTTTTCTGGCATGAAATCATTTAGGTACTTGCAAAGTTGGTAGAGTTAGATCTGGTACATGACAGTGTACATCATTATTTAATGTTAGAGAACAGTAAGGAATGTACTATACATTGTAGAAACTAGGGCAGCTTTTTATTTGATTGTTTGGGGCACAAAAGCAGTGATGATACTCGCTTATCATTTGTTATCTTTCTCTCCAGTTTCAACATGCCACACGATGACAACTTCCGATGTAAAGAAGAGTTCCACTCATCGTACGCATACCACGTCATGGCTCCCACCCTCAGCTACAACACCAAGCCCTGGTCCTGGTCTGACTGTAGTGCTAAGGCCATCACCGAGTTTTTAGAGTAAGTGTTTGTTTGTTTGTTTGTTTGTTTGAACCTTTAAGTTTGTTCCTTTCTGACAAACTGTTATGGGCAGTGCCTGATGTAACACCCGTGTCTCCTGTAGCACAGTGCCTGTTGTAACACCCCTGTGTCTCCCGTAGCACAGTGCCTGTTGTAACACCCCTGTGTCTCCTGTAGCACAGTGCCTGTCGTAACACCCCTGTGTCTCCCGTAGCACAGTGCCTGTTGTAACACCCCTGTGTCTCCTGTAGCACAGTGCCTGTTGTAACACCCCTGTGTATCACGTAGCACAGTGCCTGTTGTAACACCCCTGTGTCTCCGTAGCACAGGTTATGGGCAGTGTCTGATAGATGAGCCACCACCCCTCCAGCCCCTGCCTCTTCCTGAGAACCTGCCTGGAGAAATCTACGATGTTGACAGACAGTGCGAACTTGTCTTTGGGCCTGGATCCCGTGTCTGCCCGTACATGGTAGGTACTTCTATGTCATCTTCTTTGGATATAGTTGATCCAGTATTTGAGTAGTATACAGTAGTTGATTATACAATGTCATGTACCCCTGGCTCTATCTGCGGGGCCCTTGACACAGATGGGCAACAGTGGCTAGTCTGCACACCACGTTCCAGGCAGCTCTGTTCGAGGGGTCCACGCTGGTGAGCTGCACACTTCAATGAAGTCCTTCTTGACACACTCCATCTAATCTAGGACAAAAAGTTTTGCTGAGAACAGTGTACATGGTGTACAAGCTGTTTCATCTTATTTTTGTCCTACTTTTTTGTAAATGCACAGGCTGCAGTCACGATTGTCTGGTGATATACCACATAATGTGGACCCACATTGGTGTTAGACCACAAAATGTGGACCAACGCTAGTGTTACACCACATAATGTGGACTCACACTGGTGTTAGACCATTTGATGTGGACAGCAGATTGGATCCACATTAGTGGTAGACCACAAAATGTGGACCAACACTGGTGTTACACCACAATCATTATGTGGACCCACACTGGTGATTGACCACGTAACATGGACCCACACTGGTGTTAGACCACATAATGTAAACCCACACTAGAGTGGTGTCTTTTTGACAACAGATGTTTGGTCTTTAGAGTACAGTATGAAATTAGATTTATAAATCTTGATTACAAATGCCAACAGTGTTCTCTAGACTACAGTAATCCTAGACTAAATGTGGCAACATGATCTCAGTAAAGGTCGTTCCCACGGAAACCTAAACCAGGTCATCTGGACATACCATTGTCTCAAAATAGGGGTCAGCATTGTGTGGTATGCAAAACAAGATGCTGCTTTGGTCAAAGTGTGCCCAAAGACATTTCATACATTGGTATGAGTATTAGAGCTTAAATTAGGGTTCAGATTGAAGAAGTTTTAGTAATGTACAGA